TTATTATTATTATTAATATAATTATAATATTCCATAAATAGTACACATACAGTAATATATACTCATTATTGATAATATAAGTATTGTTCTAATTGGACAGGAGCTGTTTTCACAATTTGGGCGAATGTACGAGTTTCCTTAAATGTTAATTGCTTACTTTTCGTCTTTTTTATATTCCTTTACGATACAATTTATATTTCGTCAATTAAGAGAAAGACATAACAGTATTTGCTTTCAAATTTGATTTCACGCAAGACGCCATTACCTACGTAATGGCTCTTTAAATGAAACCAAATTTAATATTTCAAGTGAAAGGAAAGAAAATTCATTAATGAGCAAATCATGTTATAGGATATGAAATGTATATATACCGATTCATTCGCTTTAACATCCATCCTGTGTGTGAATAAAGTGAAATAATGTGAAGTAACTCAAATATTTATCAAAAACCTGGAGGAATATAGCATTATGCGATGGACTGATACAATGAAGCAAGCTCATTTATTTAGTTTCTACTACTTAAGCCTATAAAACTTAATATTGCAACTCTATTGGTCACTGATTTTTGCAATTTGTTTCTTAAATAAATAATAAATAATGAGATTTAAGAATCAATTTGCAATCTTCAAAAATGTAATATAAAGTATATAAATTAAGGTGTGTCATGTTCACGTAATGGGAGAATAACGGTGACAAGAGATGTATATTATAATAAAAAGGAACTTAATGAATCGCGCTAAAAAAAATACACAATATATGAAACAATTGTATACATATAAAATCTTTAAATAATCTACATAACGCGGTAAAATATATAATATACATATGCAAATGCTTCCGATTCCGACATTTGTCCTTTCATTGAGCACTTTTCCAGCCTATAAATTACCATATGGTAATTTTGGAAAGTGTATCGTCTCCAATGATTTGTAAAAACGCCAAGATTTAATCGGTATATTATTATCGCGTCTATTGTGTCGACACGGATCGATTTCACAAATACAAAATACATTACGTGGAATATGTACATCAAATTGTAGTTATCATGTATTTTAGATTGACATATCGAGAATAAAGGAAAGATATTCTGCTGACTTTTGATTAGTTTAGAATGTACAATTAAATCGCAAGGTATATATTGCCTTTCTCTGGCATAAAATATAAATGGTTCGTAACCATACCAGTCATTAAATTTGTGGAATGCTCGTAAGTCAATAAGCGTCGCAACTGACTTTCGACACATGGCGACAATTATGCACACGGGTCAATTATGCTCTACTTCACCCTACTCTCTACTTCTCTACTCTCTAGTCTCAAGTAGCGAGGTGGATACGCTGCTCGTAGGACATGACAAGTTGAAAAGTATATTCCATATGCTTCTCGTATGTATAGTATACATTAGTGATTTAGTATTTGAAATATTTCTGTATAATTAATTTCAATAACCAATAGCTGCCTTAATGTCTAAAGGACTGAAACATTGCTGCTACATATGTATCATATAGGCATGTAGCAATTAGGATATTTATGTTGTGGCTCTTATTAACACGAAGTAATGGTGAAGCAGTGTGTGTGTGTGTGTGTGTGTGCGTGTGCGTGTGCGCGCGCGCGTGTGCGTGCGCGTGTGCGTGTGTGTGTGCGTGTGTGTGCGTGTGTGTGCGTGTGTGCGTGTGTGTGTCTGTGTGAATAAAGATGTATTTTCATTAATAATTAAAATGAATAAAAAATATTTAATTATTATATTTTATAATACGTATATTGTACTTACATAATCCAATATTTTTTTTATTTAATGGTTGTTCCAAATCATTGTTAACAGATCCTCTCAAAATATTGAAATCATCCTTTCTTTTTCCTTTCAATTTGTATGTTTCTTTTTGTTGAAGTTTCTTCCTAGCTCCTTCCTCATCATTATCGGTGGTGAAAGCGTATGTCGTATTTCTTAATTTTGAAATTTTTTTTTCAGCTTGATTGTATGTATCTAACAATAGAAAAATTATTAAATCCAACTTTTAGTACACACAATAATTTTTTTATCTTTTACTACACACGATGGGACGTTCATTTCTGGATTAATTTTCATTTTTACAAAAAAGCAAAAATTATAAAATGATTTTTATATATACTTTTAACATCTTTAGAAAATATTTGTAAAACTATATATTTTAAAAAACATTGGTATAAATGTAATAACTAATTACAGCTAACGCAAAAGATGTATACTAAAAAGATACGAATAATTCAATCGTGTGTATAAAAGTTAACGATAGAACAGACACATATTAATATAGGCGTTCCGTTTCATGCATGATGCGCGTGATATATTATTTTGTCCTTGTTTAACATTTGGCAACACGCGCATCATGCGTGAAAAGGGATGTAGACGTACAACAAAGTAATTTTTTCTATTTACCGGCATATCCTTTCACAGCGACACGGAACTTCGGCCAAGATTTTAATGGAGATCTTTCTGTTTTGACACGATTTTTCAATTCACTCAAATTTTCTTTACTGTTATCCGGAATAAATGGAGTGAATAAATCGTGTGTCTCTTCATCGTACGTTATCCAGTTCGTCGGAACAATATCGATACTTTTTGTAGCATTTTCATAATCAAGAAATTCCACTAATTTATAACGGTATTTTTTGGCCGTTGCCATTATACGAGTATATCGTTTCTCTATAGCAAAAATATTAATTTACAATTATTAAACTTACTTATTAACACTCGTTAATTTTTTTTCACTTTCCTTCTTTCGTAGCATGCGTCTTTGGAAATTCAACATGGCCATGCAATACGTACCTTTGTGTATTTACTATTATATGTAGGAGCGTTCAACCATAAACCAAATCTTATATAGCCTTCAATAACAAGGAGCAATAACGAAATAATCCTTCAGACAATACGCACACACGAATATTTATCTTTTACTAGTTAAAATAATCTTTTTTAACAAGCACGAGACACAGCACGATGAACCTGCAGAGTTTACGCAGCTAACTTCTTGCAAGAAGAGAGCTGACTGTAGGTTGAGCCCACGTGACCTGTACTGCGTACAGCAGATACGTGGACGTTGGTCACGTGAGTTAACAAGACTGGCTGAGTGCTTTAGCGATTATTCAGTTTCTATGAAAATTGTAAGCAAATGCTACAATTTTATTTAGTATTATAGGAGCGTTTATTTAAATAAATCAAATCTTAGTGCCTTCAGTAACAAAGAGCAATCCGAAATAATCCTTTAGACAATATCGCACACACGAATATCTACCTTTCACTAGTTAAAATAATTAATCTTTT